ACATGACGTTAAATTATAAATGGCCTACTGATCCCAAACAGATGCTAGAAATTTCAGCAAGTAAAAAGATTTTTGACAACATGTTGAACTGTCTGTCAATTTTGACAGGAACATGAGATTATAATATCGCAGTTAAAGTGGCTGTTAGCTTTAACAGGCAGAAGAGAATGTCAACTTATGAATTTGATAGCGACTTTGATAGCGACTTTGATAGCATTAAAGTCCCTGTCAACTTTGATAAGAAGTTAGTAGCAGTAGATGTCAAATGGCGGCAAAGAATTTGAATAAAATTTGACTACAAGTTATGCCAGATGAACTAGCTGCCAAATGTTGACAGCTGGTCAAAAGTTAAGAAATTGCATTTAACAATGACCACATGTTAAAGTGGCTGCTAATTTCGATTGGCAAATCAAAGGGCGCAAGAGCTAATTAATGCTAATTTTTGTGAGCGTTTCTTTCTATAGAGTTAGTTCATATAACCCCTTGGTTAGGGTATACAAATTGACAAATGGCATGAAGGGGCGACGGAGGCCAGTGGAGAGAGCGATAGAGGGAGAGAGGTGGGGCGTGTAGTTGGCAACGAATGCGAACGCAGTTCACTATTTACCACACATGAACGTGGGATCTGAACGAGAACGTGAATGTGAACGTGAATGTGAATGTGAATGTGAACGTGGGTGATGCATGGCGCTGAAAATGTTTAGGCCTAGTGTCTGGTGTCGCATTCATTGCCATTCATTCGGTTGCTGCCGTTTCGTGGTTGCCTATTGCCATTGCCTGTTGGTTGTGATACCCTAGATCCATTCAAAATGTGTGCACAGGCTATGATGCTTATGTGCGAATGCTTACAGTTTAGGCCGCGTCAAAGTACGTATGTATGCTCTGGTAGAATTCGAAAACTTTAAGAGCTACTTGCCCATACGCAGCTCGATAGTTCCTTTCGTTTTTATAGTATCGATATATATCGATTTTGAGATATAGTCTTTTAAGCATATATCAAAAACTTTGTTAGGTTGAGACTTGGCTTTTGGAACACGTTGATTCCAGCAGCTCGATAGTTCATTTCATTTTAATAATATCGATATTTATCGATTTTGAGATATAGTCTTTTAAGCATATATCAAAAACCGTGAGAGGTTGAGACTTGGCTTTTCGAACACGTTGATTCCTTTCATTTTAATAATATCGATATTTATCGACTTTAGCACACATATAATAGCTTAATAGTTGACCTTTAAAATATATAATTGCCTTTACCATAAGCAGCTCGATAACGCCTTTCATTTCCTTTTTATCGACATATATCGATTTGGAGATTTGGTTTCTTAAGCATAACTGTAAAACTTTAAGAGCTTGAGACTTGACTTTTGTTATATTATATATATTATCGATAAATATCGATTTTGAGATTTGTTTAATTGAGCATAGCTCAAAGAATTTAAGAGCTAGAGACATGACTTTTAAAATTATATATTGTGTATGCCATACGCAAAATAAGTCTTTTCGTTTTCACGATATCGATAAATATCGATTTTGAGATATAGTCTTTTAAGCAAAGCTCGGAAATTGTAATAGCTTGAGACTTGGCTAATGAAGTATTTTGTTGCCTATACCATGCGCAGCACAATAGCGCCTTTCGTTGTTATCAAATCGATAAATATCGATTTTGTGCCATTGTCTTTTAAGCATAATTCGAAGGCTTTAAGAGTTGGAAGCACCAAGCTTGGTATGTAGTGCGAGGCAAAGGAAACTTGAAGCACAAGTTTGTGTGCATATTTTGTCTATGTACTTATGTTGAGAAGCAAGCAGGGTATCTTTTGTTCGAGCACTCCCGACTGAAGCGCTCTTATTGTTGTTGTTGCTTGTGGCTAACATGCAAGCTTAGGATTTGGAAAACAATTTCACTGTTAGTGGAATGTCAACGTCAGGCCCATGCCCATGCCCATTGCACTTGGTGTCCCTGCAGACACACGGATTTCCACGCCCTGCCATTCCCGCAATCTATTCGTGCCGAAACGTAAAATTTAAGCGCGCGCGCGGCGCTCACATCACTAATTAGTGATGTGCAATAATCGTGCGGGAACTGCATGATGCCCAGGCGACTGGATTTTTGTTGGATTTTTGTTTGGTGTTCATTGTTCCCCTTTGGCTGTTTCAGAGATTTGCGCTCGGATGTCACCCAAAACCCATCGATGCGTTGGCTCGGTGCAGAATTTTGCAACATTGTTAATCAACTGTGCGTGTCGCATAAGTTCCTTTTGCCGTTGCCGTTTCGGGATTGGGTCTTGGGGACTGGCTACCGGTTACGATTCGCTTGCAATTCGTCATTTCGAATTGATATGGCTACTCAATAAAAGAAGAAAAATTGCGAGTGGAAGCTAGAGGCAAGGGGAGAAGATTGTGTTCAAATTAATCAATTCATCAATCAATTCAACTGGGAAGAATCCAGATCTGAGCTTGACTAATTTGTCGCTTGATATTATTTCAGTAATTAAAAATGCCCGCTTCAAGCATTTTGTCCTTCAATTCGTTTCGTTTTGAAGGACTTTTGAACCAAGAATTTTAAATTATAGAAAAAAAGTTCATTTATAGCAATCATTAAGTGTGTTAAGGGCTTCAAGTTATAGGAAATAATAAAAATTAATTAAGAAATGAATACTAATTAAATAATAAAATATTCCCAACTTAACTATGATACTGTATCTAAAGTATTTACTTCGCAAAATCTAACATATTTATTTATTTAATTGTTAAAATCATTATACTACCTAAAAAAAAGCATTCTCCAACACTATTTTGGGCTTATTTAAAGTATTCAAAGCATTTTGATACACTGCTTATGCTATTTGAGTTCACTTGGACTATTTACTTTTAATTTGAAACCATTTCCGAACACAGTTTTTAGACTTTCAGGCATTAAATTGCTCGCGATTATTTAAAGTGCTTTTAAACACTGGCTCGGTAAACTTAGCTCACTTAAACTATTTTCCCGATCATTTAAAGCACTTCAAACACTATTGCTTATAATGGTATTCATTTAAAGCACTTTCTAACACTGTTTTTGGTTAGCTCATCACATTTGAACTGTTTTCTTTTTGTCTTTGATCATTGCTGAACACTGTTTTCATTAGCTTTGGACTTCAAGCATATTAATACACATCTTTTTTTATTTTGGTTCACTTTTAATCACATTAAACCATTTTCAAACAGACTTTCAGACTCGCTGAAACTATTATCCAGTTTATATAAAGCGTTGTTTAACACTGGCTTGGTTAACTTTGCTCACTTCAACTAAGTATTATCCGGACATTTTAAACATTTCGAACGCTGTTGCTTGTTTAACCAACACTGTTTTCGTCAGCTGTGCACTTTTAACATTATTAAACACTGCTACCCTTAAAAGCAGAAATTCGTTCTGTTTTGCTCTCACAAGCTAATTAACTGTTTATTTAACGCTCTTTCCAACACTGGCTTGTTTAACTTTGTTTCACTTTCCAACACTGTTTTGCTTCATGAATCGCTGCGTCAAACTATTTGATCCGATATGCTTTGAACTTGAACTTATCAAACGTTTCCCAACACTGTATTTAACTGCACACAAATGCGTTTACAGACCGAATAAATACCCTTTATAAATGTCGGTTTTTCTGATGCGATTTTTCCAGTGTTGTTGTTGACTTCACATGCAATTTGCAGCGGCGTGTAAATAAAAAGAGCTGAACTTGCAACTCATACACATTGGATGTGTGTGCGAGTGTGTGCGCGTGTGTGTGTGTGTGTGTGTGCAGCTGGCAATATGGTTGCATTTAATTGACCAGAAAAACAGCATAGAGTAAAATTGCCTAATTGAAATTTCATGTTCTGCAATAAGTGGCAAAATGGTGACAAGAGACAACAGGGGCGGTCCGGGATCAAAAAGTGGGGGCGTGCCCTTAACGCGTCTCGCGGACAGAGCGGAGCCGGATGGAGCGGGGGATCAGTTGCTTAGGCCATTGATCTTTGGGCTTAAAAGTATGGACAGGCAACATGCGAAGTAAATATAAATCAAATGCCTTGCAAAACAAATAAAATATCAGCTGAAAGTCTTTTAATGTTGCGTTGCAACAAATCGAACTCAAGTCAATTAAAGTTAATGAACGAATTGAAGGAAATGTCATGTGTTGGGTGAATTTTGTGTGAAATCAAGACAAAACGAAGGCAAAATCGCCTTCCAAGCAGAAGAGAAGCCATGAACTGGCTTGAGTGGCCAGAAAATAGCCAAATCAGTTTAAACTTTCAACACTTCGCTTGAAACTAGCCAAATTTGGCCAGAAAAGAGCTGAATTGGCAACGTTCTTATCTAAAGTTGATAAATGTTGTTTTAAAGAGAAGATTTATTTACTTTAAATTTCATATGCGAAAAAACAGACTTTTTAAAGCTGAAAACAGCTAAAAAGAAGTAACTGTTACTTAAAAGATGTTGAGAGTTTAAAAACCCTTGAAAAAGTTTGAACAGATCTTAAACAAAATAGTTATCATGCCCAAAAAGAGTTTAAAAAGCGTATTCAAACTTTGATAGCATGAAATATGGCCGATCTGTGTATACTCTACATAAATTTACTTATTGACTCAGAACTCAGAAAATTGATAAAAAAAACAGAATTTCTATATCGATGTGAGGCAAACTCGACGGACAGGAAATATATTTAAAATAGGTATATAGGAATGCTAGGTAGTAAATGCTTGCTTCTGCTTCGATTCTATGCGATTCTATTCGATTCATTATCAATAGAGTCAGGCTATATAAAACGTATATACGAAGCATTAATTCCTATAGAAGTTCTTCCGTGGAAGTTGGATTATATGCTGCACTCGTCCGTTGTAGGCCGATAGTCAAGCCCTGCAATTAGTTATTGAAGAATGCATTTCCTATGCAGCACAGCAATCCATCAATTAGTCAATCAGGAATAAGTTCATATATAGTTTTATATATGTGGAGAGAGAAAGTCAGAGAAAGTCAGCCTTGTGGGCTCTGTCAGGGCGTTAGCTAGCCTTGATTGGAGCCTCAGTTTGTTTCAGCCCGAGCGAGCAGTCAGAACAAGTCGAGACGAAAAATTTCAATTAAATTGTGATTGGACGCGATTCGAACAGATGCCAAGCGTAATGCAGAGTCGTCGTGAGCTAATGCTGGAGGCGGCGCCTGTGCAGCGTCTCGAGGGGGGCGTGGCAGCGCTAGATGAAATCGGCAATGAGGCTGGCCAGGAGCTGGAGCTGGAGCAGGATCAGTTGGCGGAACGGAACGGGCAGGAGTTGGAAACATTGGAACAGCAACTGGAAACAGAAACCGATTGGGATAATGATCTGGACAAACCGAATGAGTTTTTGCGCTTCTTTCTACGGATGGGCTTCGGTGCCGTCATGCATCCGTATGAGTACGCCAAGGTGCTGATGCAGCTGGGCTACGAGCCGCTGCCGGCTGTGGCATCCACCAGCTGGCTGGGCCGCTCGACGCTGTTTCTGCCGAGCGTGCATCAGTATATACGCTATATACGGCATACGGATGGCTTTGCCGGACTCTATCGTGGTTTGGGTCCGCGCATTTTGAGCAGCGCCAGCTCGGCTCTGTTGTCGGAGAGTCTCGTCCATTTGGTTGGCTGGAGGCAGCTGGAGAAGCCGGCGCATCCGTTGCGTGAATACGTCTCGAATACGCCGCGAGACGGTATTATAATTGCCACCGGTTTGGCCATATCGCATCCGTTCTATGTCATCTCGGTGCGCCAGATGGCCCAGTTTGTTGGCCGCGAGGTCGTCTATTCGACAATCCGGGGCAGTGTGCGCGAGATTCTTGCCCAGGATGGGCCGCTCGGCTTCTATGCGGGCTTTCTGCCGCGCCTCATCAGCGATCTCGGTGTGCTCTTCTGCACCAGCACCCTCAGCGCCATCTGTAATCGCGTCTTTATGCTCAAGTCCGATCAGCGGGAGTATAACTCGGCTCTGCTTCAATTTGGTGCCATCATGCTGCTCTATCCCCTTCAGGTTGTCGGCGCCTGTATGGCCTGCTCCGGCTCGGGCGTGGCAGCCGGCGCACCGCCCTTTATGCCCATCTATTGCCAGTGGATCGATTGTCTAACGGATTTGATTGCTCGCGGCGATCATTATCGCGGCGCCTTCATCTTTCGCCGCACTTTGCCCAAAATGCAAGCCCAGCGTATCTACGATCCATATGGCGTTTCGCGCATGATTTAAATATTCCCAGTTTTCTGAAATTTCTTTGTTCATTTGTTAAACCATTAAAAATTTGGTGTTGCGTTAAATCTATATAAATGTTTCCGTTTATATATGTATTCGTATACTACATTTTGAATCTTCTTTCCTCCATCTTTCAACTTGAATTCTTTAACATTTCTCTTAACCATTTATATATTCATGTACCTATCTATACATCCATATATCTATGCGCAAGCATAATATTGCCAAATTTAGATGTCAAATTAGTCTAGAGGGCAAGCAATAAACAAAAAGCCAAACTTTATGAAAATCGGATGAGATTTGCCCAAGTTATGGGGGTGGGAAATTTTGACCTAAGTCTATAAGGATATTTGAGGGTGCCATTTACATGAATTTGGACCAAAAATAATGTTGCCAGATTAAGATGCAAAATTGATATAAAGATCAAACCATAAACAAAAAGCCAAACTGTATGAAAATCGGATGAGATTTGACCAAGTTATGGGGGTGGGAAATTTACACCTAGGTCTATAAGGATATTTGAAGGTACCATTTTCACATGAATTTGGACCAAAAATAATGTTGCCAGATTTAGATACAAAATTGATATAGAGCTCAAACCATAAACAAAAAGCCAAACTTTATGAAAATCGGATGAGATTTGACCAAGTTATGGGGGTGGGAAATTTAGACCTAGGTCTATAAGGATATTTGAAGGTAACATTTTCACATGAATTTGGACCAAAAATAATGTTGCCAGATTTAGATACAAAATTGATATAGAGCTCAAACCATAAACAAAAAGCCAAACTTTATGAAAATCGGATGAGATTTGACCAAGTTATGGGGGTGGGAAATTTAGACCTAGGTCTATAAGGATATTTGAGGGTACCATTTACATGAATTGGGACCAAAAATAATGTTGCCAGATTTAGATGAAAAATTGATATAAAGCTCAAACAATAAACAAAAAGCCAAACTTTATGAAAATCGGATGAGATTTGACCAAGTTATGGGGGTGGGAAATTTAGACCTAGGTCTATAAGGATATTTGAAGGTAACATTTTCACATGAATTTGGACCAAAAATAATGTTGGCAGGTTAAGGTGCAAAATTGATATAGAGCTCAAACCATAAACAAAAAGCCAAACTTAATGAAAATCAGATGAGATTTGACCATCTGTCATCTGCCATCTTTCATATATTATCTTCCAGCTTCTATCTTTTTTCTTCTACCTTCTCTTTTCCATCTTGTACCTTTCGTCTTTCATCGTGCATCTACCATCTTTTTATACCCTGAACCCATTAAAAATGGGTAAAAGGGGTATAATGTATTTGTGCAAATGTATGTAACAGGCAGAAGGAAGCGTCTCCGTCCCCATAAAGTATATATATTCTTGATCAGCATCAATAGCCGACCTAGCCATGTCCGTCCGACCGTCTGTACGTATGTATGAACGCAAGGATCTCAGAACCTATAAGAGCTAGAGATTTGAGATTTTAGCTGTAGCTCCTCCTAGTCCCCGTGCAGATCGAGTTTGTTTCCGATAGTCGATAACTTGCCCCGTTTCCAATCGTAATCGATAAAAATCGATATCGAAATCCTCTTTTTGAGCGATTTCGGCAAATAATATGAGCTAGAGTCACCAAACTTGACATGTAGCTTCTAGAATAGTATATATATATATCAAGTATCTTTCATTTTATGCCTATCGCCTGTCGGAAGAAGAGGGTACAGGGTATCCCCTAGTCGGGAGCTCCCGACTAGAACCTCTTACTTGTTTATTCTTCTTCCTTCAGTCATCTTCCAGCTCATATATTCTAGCTCCTGTTATCTGGTTCTTAAGCTTCCTTATATCTGATATCTATTTATATCTTGTCTCTTCTATATTATATATCATTTTGTTGCTGTAGCTCAAATCGGAGCAATCAGTCGAAACACCAGAGATATTTCTGTCGTGTTTTTTTTTGAAGTGTTTATATTAAATTGATGGATTTTTATACTCATAAAATTATAATTATCGCTGTGCATTTGCCTACATTTAATTTGTGTCAAATTTTTGGATAAATATTCAAGAACATTTTCATGTTTGGAATTTTATAAAGAGCTCAACTCGGCAATGAAGTAGGTGGCATTGCTTGCTGCAGTTGTTGTTGCTGCTCGGGCAGCTTGTACTAATTTGAATTATTTAGCTTGACGCACGAGACTCTGGAATCAAGGCACACACACACACACACACAGACACACACACATACATTTTGTGGTCTCTATTGGGCGGCCTGTTTTAATTCATAAGCGAGGCGAACGCCTGGGAATGGGTTGGAACGTGTGGAAAATAGGTTTGTTGTTGTAAGCGTTACGTTCTGGCCGTTTTTCTTGGCTGCAACACAAAATGTCAGCAGAGATTAAGCGATTGAAATCTGTTCATGTACAAGATTTTATAAACCAAGCAGAGAGCGACACACACACACAGCACACACACACACAGAGAATGATGCTTAGCTGGCAGCTGCACGTAATGAAAATATCAAAAATCTTTAACGAATTGTGCCGACGGCTTTATGTGGGAAATTCTATGAGCTTTACGGGGGGGAGGGGGTGGCCGGACAAGTGTGTGAAGGGGGTGGGGGGGGGGGGGGGGGCATTTGAATGCGACACATTTGTGTGTGTGTGTGTGTTGTAGTTGTTGGTCTGGTTCATTTAGGCCAGAGAAATCAAAAGTCAAAAGTTAGTCCGTAGCCCGCAGAGACTTGAGCTCTTGAAATAAACGACTAGTTATTACATGTGGGTCTCTGTATGGGTGTGTGTGCGTGTGTGCGAGTGTGCGAGTGTGTGTGTGTGTGTGTGTGTGTGCGAGTGTGTGTGCGTGCCTGTTAGGTGTGCCATGCACATGCACATGATGACAATGGCAATGACAGTGGCTGGCCACACTGGTCACCCAAAACAAGTCAAAATACACCAAACAGAAACTGAGCGACTAGAAGATACCCTACTCATAGCTCTGGAATTTAGATGGCATTCACATTCAACAATCGATGTAATATTTCTTAAGGTGGGGAAAAGTTATCCAAATAAAATGCTCTTCAGCTGTAAATGCTGTTAAGCCACCTTCATGAGAGTCTTCACGATACGCATAAATTTTCCATATCGATAATTATCGATTTTCGTAGAACGAGCACTCGATTTGCGAATGTCAAAGAACAAGCCAACTGCCAACTTTTGATGCCTTTAACGCTTTTACTCGTTGATATGTGCTCGAGGGGACAAGTCTACAAATCGATATTTATCGACTTTGGCGAGCTGGCAAAAGTTATCGATCAGCAATCGATCAGCAACCCTGCCTCTCACACGCACATGTGCTCAGGTTCAATATACCCATTGCCATTAATTTGGCATGCGTACAGGGTACAAGCTGGGGCGTACAGACTTAATAGCCAAAAAATGCAATCAGCAACTATGTGACCAGAGCCAACTGACCAACTGGAACCAGCTACAGTCACACTCGCTGCGGACAGCCCTGTGACATGGACGCACGCATGCTGCAGCATCATCATCAAGCCTCTTCCTGTATACCCTTTCCCCGTGCGTATGCCCCTCCGCACCCTTTGCTCGGTCTTCGTGTCCTGTCCTGTCCTGACTTGTCTTGTCTTGTCTTGTTGCTTCGTTGTTTCGTTCTGGAAAATGCAATTAGGCTAACGATGCAACACAATTTTGTATTTAACTACAGCGAGGGTGCGAGCGAGATGGCTGCAATAGGGCGAAAAACCCTCGTCCCTCTACTGGCAGGCATGCAGCTTGGGCATATTAGCTGCGAGGTGCGCCTCAAATCTTTGCCAGCGCTCAAGCTCTCAGATTCTCCAGAATTACAACTGTCCTCCATGGTCAGTTGTCTATTAATTTTGTTGAAACTCTGATGTCCTCCATGTTCATTAGTAATGCTTTTTTTCTCATTTGCCAGAGTTTTATTAGCATTTCATGACTTCCATTGTCATACATATTATTCACGTAACAGTTGTCCATTCATTTAATCTGTCCTCCATGTTCACTTTTTCTGCCCGCATACAGTTAATTGTAAGAGTTTTCCTGAATTTTATTGGAAGAGCGGAAGGCTCAATTACTTGACTTTTACTTTATTTATGACCGTGTATTCCATGTTCACTTTCTTAGGTCCATTTGCATGAGTTTGCATTTTAGTCCTTCGGTCCTCCCTGTTCACTTTTTGAGTCCGTGTTGTGTCTTTTAACGTCTCTTTTTATGGCCTCTCGTGGTATCTGCTTAACTTATATATATTCAATTTGTATTAAAATGATCTGATTGACTGATTGATGGGTAAGTTAATGTCCTCCATGTTCACTAGGCTAGAAAGCACATGCTCCATTCAACGTCTTTTTAGTTTTTGATTGACTGATTGATGGGCAACGTTATGTCCTCCATGTTCATTTGGCTACAGAGCTCATGTTAATAACAATTCATTAATATATTTTATATGTATTAAAATGATCTTGATTGATGATTAACTGATTGATGGGCAACGGTATGTCCTCCATATTCACTTGACCAGAGAGCAAAAGGTCCATTCAAGGTCTTCTTTCTTTTTTTCAACAATAATACTAATTCATAAGTTCTACATTTAGTAAGATGTCTTGATTGACTGATTGATGGGCAATGCACAGCCTTAGCCGTAAGCCCTAAAAAGTTGAGTCTTTTACAAAAATGGTTACAAGAAACTTTCTGATTTTAAGGGAAATTTTTCGAAAATTTCCTTCACACAGCCTTCGGGAAATTCACTTTCCAAGCTTGGACAAAAGTTTTACTGATTGAATACACAGACAATAGCCGCGCAAAGCCGCGTAATATATATATTCATATTTTAATATGTTATTTTAAATACCCCACAATTAAATGTACTGAGCTTTGTTTAAACTTTCCTCGCACAAGACACAAGCACAAGTATTTTCTATAATGCTTTAAACTTGAACTTATGGGCATATCATGTGTTTAACATTATGTGTGTCCTTCTGTGCGTGTGTTTGTGTGTGCGTGTGTGTGCGTGTGTGCGTGTGTGTGCGTGTGTGCGTGTGTGCGTGTGCCGGAAATGTCGAACAAATGATGCACTCTCTGCCTATTGAATTAACTCGAGCTGTCAAGACATCGAGCCGGTCGGTTCAGAAAGTTTTGTGTCCAGGCCTTATAATTATGCTGTGTGTGTTGTCTGTGCTCTGCGATGACGATGACTGAGTTAATTCGCATCAAATTATGAATTATTATTGCAACTCAATCTAATTAAGCAACGAATACCTCAAAATTTAACAACGTTTACAGCTCCTGTCTTTGACCAACCATATATCATAATTAAAATTTGCCAGCCAAAAGCAACTCTCTGCATGTGGTCTGTAAAAAAAAGTCAACATATTATAATTAATCACGTGTAGTTACATCAAACCGATTCGCTATAATTTCTCTGCCATTTCGCCATCTGATGGTAGCCAGCAAATATGTGAACGATTCTTGAAATCAGTTTTAATCTCTCGAATTATATCTATATATATATATAAATGATTGATTGATTGACTGATTGACTACCTTAGTGACAAATGTTTAGTGTGCACACTAAAACGTGCTTTGTCGAAATTCCACCTGAAAGCGTGGAAAATTCGCGGAAATGTGTCAAACTTTGCTAAGATTTCTCTGCCTTCTCCTGAACTTTCTATCTCTATATAGAAAACTGAATGACTGATTGCCTGACTTATTGATTGACTATCTTACCGACTCAAGTTACGCTAAGACGTGATTTGTCGCAATTCCACCCGCAACTGTGGAAAATTCATTTGGAAAGTGTTTCAAACTTTTCGCAAAATTCACATCTTCTTTGTGGACAATGTCGGCGAAAAGTCAAGTTTCGTCAAATTTATGTTCAGAGCTCTAGAGAAAAACTTAATGAATGCATGTTTCAGCAATTTTTGCACTTTCACCCGCAACAGTGGAAAATTGACGGAAACTGGCAGCATGAAACGTTTGCCCTTTTTCATATTCTTCACGGAAGTGTGTGGAATAGTTTGTCTAAAATTTGAAGAAATAACTTGGCCCGAGCAAGGCCGGGCAATACCCGCTGGTAAGGTATATACATATATGCACGTGATCAGCATTGACAGTCGAGGCGATTTCCCTCTGGCTGTCATATAAATTTTGACAGGGAAATGGGCAAACGTATCAATAAATATTATATAAGAATTATAATATTTAAATTCAACTTTTAATCAAATATAATTCACAAATAATATCTATTAAACATGAACTTCTTTGGGAACAAAAACTTCGAAAAATTTTAACTATCTGCATATTTAACTTCATGTCAACTTTATGTTGAATGACTCAGAAATTGATTCGAGTTAGAATGTGTACACATTTTAATATTCTCATACAACTTTTTCTGTACAGGGTATAACTAAGTCGACACAGCTCGACTACAATGCCCTTACTTGCTGTTTTTAATATAAATCGCAGAACTTTCTCCTTGGAAGCAGGATTTTTGATCTGCTTTTCTTAACTTGTGTCAAAGTTGAACACTTGTTTAACAACCTTTCTAGTAAGCCTTGGCTAGGGTATTATAGAAGTCACAGATATATGTATACTTGAAATCCATTAGTTGGCCATGTGAATGGAATTCGATGCTGTACAGCTTGAGCAGGCCTCGAAGTCGACATGAGAATGAATGAGCCCAGGCGAAAGGCAAACAGATTCATTCCAGTTGGAGCTCAACTGGAGCCAACAGCTCTAGTTTTCTAAATTTGTTCTGCCTTTTCTCTCCGTTTATTTCTGTTGAGAGAAACAAATAAAATCAAAAAGTGTCAAAATTCAGTTTGTTTCAAAGTTTCTCTGTAAACAATGTGAAAATTTCAAGAAGTGTTGCAAAATTACGTTCAGAAGCGGTTTGTATGTTCTTCGTGTGAATGGGTGTGAACACAATAATGGTGAGTACCCAGAGAGGGATTCGCATTAACCTAGCAAAGATTCATCCCAACCCTTGTCCCCTTCCCTTCCCTTCCCTTCCCTTCCCCCTTCTCCAGTCGTCACAGCGCAAAATTTTAAACAGAAGTCCAGATCAAAAGTTTTACGCGTTTCTATTTATCTCTAATAACCAAGTATCGTATTTCGTAACCAAGTGAGTGAGAAACCCAAAGTTCCCGCTTCAGATATATGTATATATTCGATCTCCCGCAGGATTTGATGTGATTGTTTATTTCACAATTCGTAACTTTCGAATGTATATTCGCCCATAGAATCGGAAACTCTCGGAGTTGATTGCCCAGCCAAGGGGTAAGTCCAGACAGATCTCTCTCGAGTGATCTCTCCATCTGGTAATACTCCCCGTTCTGAGCAGGTATTTGTTGTCCTTTTCAATTGCAAGACTCAATGTGCGTCAAGGTATTGTACGAGCTATATAATCTCGATCTTATCGGTATAATACGTTCTATTGCAGTTATATTCTGATCATTCAAAGTTGTCTTTGTGCGTAAAATTCAACACCCAAAAAATAAATGAGAAATTCCAAATTCAAAATGACATTTTCTAAGCTCGACTTCATATTTTAAATGGCTAAGAAAGGGACCACAATCATCGCCACACTCAACGCAAGCCTTGGATCTTCCCTCTTCTCTTTCCTTTGGCAATTGTCCGCCTTTTCTTCAGGGAAGAATCGTAATAAGAAACTAATACAAAATTATCAAGCTTATATATACATGGAGAATCACAACGTCACGGAAGAAGGTAAGACTAAGCTCTCGATGCGGAGGATCTACTCTAAATAAATTCCCATTTAACAGCTGGCCTAGCTCTTAACTACAAAAATACTAGTCGTAATATCAACCAAAAACTGAACCAAAATAAAATTAAATTGGTCCTTTAACAAATAAGAAGTGCGGCTATAATTATAAAGAAGAATAAAAATGCGAGCTTAGACATACACAGTTTGTCTCTTAATGCTGGGAGGGAAGAAGGGTTAATTAATTGGATGGCAAAGGATAAAGCCAAATCTATTATGGGAGTATGCCAATTATGAAGTCAATTCTCCTTGAAATGGGAGAGAATGGGGTTAATTAGATGGCATTCAAAAGATAAAAACAAGTCTAGTTACTTACGCAGCTTCAATTGAATCGTTATTCAAGGAAGCGCACGTATACCATGCAGATTATATGGATATACATATATGGAAGGAATGTAAAAATTTAAGGTGCGTGTCGGTCCATGGGGGGAACATAGGTGCAAACTGTGAACTGAACCAGCAACATGGTTCAAACTGAGCCTAAACGTAACTGTTTTGCTTTGCAGTCATGTGACACCAACTTGCAAACTATTGAAATGGTGCGTGGAATCATCCATATGGGGACTATTATGGAGCATCGATAGCATCTTTATCTAAGGGACTAGAAAGATATATCCGACACAAGACTGCATAGTACAATTTCTATTTAATAGCCTAGTTTGTTTTTATACCCTTTACGAAGTGGCTGTCCATACCTTAAACAGAATACGTTCTGAATATCGATATCTCTTTCCATTTCTGAATATCGATAAATATCGATTTTGAAAAGAGGTCTTACACTAAAAACTCGAAGATTGTAAGAGCTAGCTACCAAACTTGGATTGTAGGTTGTGTTATAGCATATACAGATTATGAATATTTCACTTTTTGGATGCCACGCCCATTTCGTCCTAAGATTGGAAAACATTAATTTGTATAGGTAGAGACTTGCGCTTTGGGATCTAAACACTTTAGTGTGCTATCAATAACGGAGTTAATGATGATTGAATTGCTAATGGAAAGGGTGAGGAAAGTTTGTCACTATGTGCAGGGTATCTTCTAGTCGCGTACTCCCCTCTGAAGCGCTCATACTTGCTATTTGGTGTTTACGCATTTGGGAACAGGTTGATTTAAAAAAGAAGTTATGTTTATATTACGCATACGTCGCACAGGCGGGCGACTTCCGATGATGGCAGCCGCGTTGGCGGTTTCAATATTATACGATAAATCCAATTAACATGGTTTTATGCCACAAACAACACACACACGCACACGGCAGAGGTGTTAATCGACGTCATTATGATGTAAAGCGGGCGTTGAGAATGATATTTTGTATATTTTATGACCGCAGATGCGATGCGTAATTAACAGCAACAGCAACAGCAACAACAACAACAACAACAACAATTGTCAGGCAGGTTAATGAGGCATCATTGATTATGCATATGAGTGGCGGTTAGGTGTGCGTGTGTGTGCGTGTGTGTCTGTTTGTGTGTGTGTGTAGAGTTTCATTCGCTTTTCACACATCAAATTAAATTGTTACATATGCTAATGAAATCAACCAAAATTATGAGCAATTATGAATAGCTTAATGGGATTTACCAAAGCCACACACACACACACACACATTCTAAAACTATGTGCGTGTGTCCTTAAAGCCAAGACTTTTGCTTAAAGTAACAAGTCGCAGTTTCTCTTGTCAGCACTGATCGACTTCGTGATACCCTAAAACAGCTGTCCAGCTGCCCAGCTGTCGCTGCAAATATTCTAGCTTCCCTCTATGCTTGCATATACGAATACACGCGAAGTTCTGCTTCCCTCTGGCATAAAAAAGTGTGCACATACAAGCTTAAATCTCTTAAAATGCTTGTCTTTCAATCCTAGAGCAAAAGGTGTGTGGCATCCGAAAAAGAAACATTCTTTATATGTATATACTAAAATAGAGCTTATATAACAAGTTTGGTTTAGCCAGCTCTCATAATCTTCGAGTTATGCTTTAAAAACCATTCCTCAAAATCGATATTTATCGATATTACAGAAATGGGAAAAGATATCGATATCAGAACGTGTTCTGTTTAAGGTATAGACAAATTTTAATTGCATATTTTAAGCTTCAAGTTCTTCAGTTTTCAAGATCGACAAGTTCTCTCAAAATCGATATTTATCGATATTACAGAAATGGGAAAAGATATCGATATCAGAACGTGTTCTGTTTAAGGTATAGACAAATTTTAATTGCATATTTTAAGCTTCAAGTTCTTCAGTTTTCAAGATCGACCAGTTCTCTCAAAATCGATATTTATCGATATTACAAAAAATGCGAAGAAATATCTATTACAAGCACGTTCTGTTTATGGTATGGACAACATATATATTTAAAATTTTAAGCTTCAAGTTCTTCAGTTTTCAAGATCGACAAGTTCTCTCAATAACGATATTTATCGATATTACGAAAATGGGAAAAGATATCGATTGAAAACTATAAATGCCTTCTGCGTTTGACATAATACATGTTAATATCAAATTGCAAGCCTCCAGCTTTGACAGTTGCCGAGTTCGTTGGGTTTATTTGGATGGTTTGCCAGCTCTTCGACCTGATCAAGGGGCATTCATGGGCGATGTCGCCTTCTGCCTGTTACATATGCTTGCACAGAAACAAGCTACCCGTTTGAGCTCATACTTTTTCAGCCGCCCCTGGCAAGGCAAGGCAAGGCAAGGCAAGGCTGGGCTGGCCAAGCATGGCTGCCGCCAGGCAGTCAAAAAACGCAGCCAGGTGTAAATTACAAACTTGCAAGATTTTTGCCTGGCATTTCCGGTCCCCGCCTCCATCTAAATGCCCAAACCCCGCGACTGTCCACTCTCTCCCCTCTCTCCCCTCTGTTAGCCAGGCTTGTTGTCTCCTGCCTGTAGCTGAGTGCGGCTACAGGGAATGGGCCTACGTTTTGCTTAGGCGCTTTGCTGTTGCTCTGCTTCTGGTTGTGCTTCCTCTTGCTTAACTTCACGTAATGCCAACAATTACGCAGCTGAATATTTTATGAGCCAAGCAGATTAATATGAATATTTTATTATCATGTTTGAATCCGAATTTTGTTTGTTGGACCGCACTCTCGCTCTGCGCTGTGTCTCGCCTCGGTGGCTGTGCCCCCAATTTGAGCCACTGCCACGCCCCCGCCGCCCCTTGGCCATGTCAGCCTTTGCTTAGCCAAGCCAAACTCAAGGCGAAAGCATGTCCAAAAATATGCTTTATATGCCTTTGCGTTTGAGTGTTTGTTTTTTTTTTCTTAATTTTTTTTTCTTCAGTTTTTTATTCGTGCCCTAAACGTCGGGTACATTCGCTTAAACATGAAGTTTGTCAGAGATTGGAAGAGAATTTGGAATAAAGCTGACTGTCAAAACAAAAAAAAAAACATTTGTGAATCATAATAAATTAAACAAACAAGATCAACCTAAGCATTTCAATTTGATTTGAACCAGCGACCTTTCGTTTGCTGGTTCGGCGCAGGCTTACAACGTTCTGTTTGGCTAAGGACAAATTAGTGTGTTGCGTTCTTCTTGTTGGACTTATCTTAAGCTCAGCTTGATAATCTTTTGGTCTAATTAGTTAACGCTACAAGCCCAAGTCCGAAGTTCTCCTTGTATTGAACAAACAAATGAAATTAGGCAATCAATTTTCTTCTATTATATAATATTTATATAGATTTTTAACTAATTAAAGGATAATGGTTCCCCAGGAAAAAGACTTCCTTTGGTAGGATTTTTAAGTAAAATAACTTCTCGTAAACCTTGTCCTTAGCTTCTTCCTGTTCTTAGACGAATTCCTTGGCAGCTTTAGGCACAGCAAATCTTTTAGGAGACTTCCTCAGCTAATTCTATCTTGCTCTTTTTTTTCCTAACTCTCCCACGGGGAATCTTTCGGGCAAAACTCCTTTAAACTCCGTCCACCAAAAATCTATTCAGTATTCTCTTCAGTTATTCATCGTGCTCTGAAACTTTTCTCAGACTAAAATCTATAGTTGAATTGACTTTAGAGTATTTCAAATTCGTTGCTTGCAATTGAAATTAAACGCGTTGCCGTTTCGTTGCCCGCAGCTTTTTTTGCACCTTTTGGTGAAGTCAAAAATGCTTTTTGCTGCTGGCCAAAAAACACACACACACACACACAGACACCAAGAGAAGGGAGGCCAAAAACTCGACTGAGAGGCAGGTCGGAAGGAGAGAAAATGTGGTGAGAACGGAATTTATGACCACGAGCCTTCAAAGGGCCAAGCAGCCTAAATGTTTTGCGCCAGGCAGCGTCTGTCCCAGACATGCCAAATAAAAACTGGAGGCCAAACAGTACCGGCAGGGGTCGGTAGGGACGGGAGTGGGAGCCAGTGAGATAGAGTGTTGGGAGGTAGCGCAGCGTTACGTGTGTTGCCTCAGTCAAAGTCAGCAAATAAAAAGCCAAAGTGAAACAAGAATATTTTCATTTGTTGCGTTGAAAATTTCATGCGCTCCGGGCACGGCAATTATAATGCTCCCTACCCTACCCCCGATCAACACACTTGAGCTGGGTAGTTGGCTACTCGGTAGCACCCTCTGGTAGCCGCTTTGAGGGGCCCCTTAGCAAACTATGTGAAGTAGTCGTAATATGCTCATCATCTCAGCTCGTGCCCAATAAATTTGGCCAATAAATGCGCCAGCCACGCCCACGTTAGCGGGTGCACGGTAGGGCAGTAGGGCGGTACGGCTGTTGGTACCCTCTGATTTATGCAGTGCCATAAAACAGACGATTCGCCTTAAAGCTTACAACAAACAAACACGAAAAAGTGGCAAAAATTTAAAAAAAAAAGCAAAGAAATATGCCCGAAGGCACCAACAGGAGCTGGCCCTACCGGAGCCAGAAATGGCCGCCGACTGCAAGTCTGAGCTCTGCCAGCTGCGTTCTGGGTTCTGGGCGGCTGTTCAGTTCTAAATCCTGAGCCTCGGCCTAGACTGGCTTAGCGTGTGTGGCGCCCCAAATGGCAGCAGCTCAACGTGTTGCCCGACGCGCGCCTGTCAAGGCGACGCAGCGAAGCGCATCGAGTTGGCAGCACCGCCCGGCACTGACAGTGATGCAATGCGGCGTGGAGCTAGTTCCGAAAAAGAAGAACGAAAAAAATGCTATTGCACTTTCGTTTGAG